TGTTACGCAATATGTATTCGAAACCTTGTACAACGCCCAAAACACAACTCTGCTTCAACAAATACGTATGTACCCAATAATAACCTTTCCTAATAAATAAGGCCCCACGATAACCTTAAAACTAGTTATTCTACTTTCGGATGTATCATTAAACTTGCATCGTCTATTTTTGGAATACAGAATTTCGATCTTGAGTTTCCAGATCGACAGCGTTATCCAGATACCGAATAGATCGACAACCTTAAAGTCTAAACGCATTAACCATCGTTTGACGGTAACCATATAAAGCCCAAATCTTGTCTTGCGAATTTACCAACTTAATTACTTTCCTTAGTTACTGCGTTTATGTCTGGCACTGTGAGAATTCGGCGTTGAAATGTGGAAGTCTCCCTTGGTCACAACAATAGCTAGACTTGGTTTAGCTAATTATTTGTGAATAAACCTTTGTGCCTTGTGGTTGCGGTACGAGATTAGTTCTGGTTGATACTTACTGTAACATAATACCAATGTATAGCACGCCATATGGCGTCTTATGTCGATATAGCCAAAGGTTAAAAAAAAAATGCTTATCGCTATAAAATTTTTATATACTGCATCAAATATTGACAATGCACAATCAGGTTTATGAACCAAGCTTTTTAAAAAAGTTTCCGTATAAAGAGAATTCTAAACTGGTTTTGAGCTAACTTCACTATATTGAAACTTTAATCAGTTTCCGTTTCTAAAATTTTTTTCTTGTATAATAATCCGCATAATTAATTAAAGCAGATAGAACGTTTGTTAGTTCACGATAATTTGAATTTCAAAAAAAATTTTTTTTAGAAAAAATTCTATTATGTCTCCTCATAATTTTAGAAATTATTTTACTTTAATTAAAAATCCAAATAATCCTACAAATGCTCTCGCTGTGTGTAACTGGTGTATAAGAAAATATGGTGGATTAGGAACAGCTCAATTAAAACCAGAATGTTGTACGGTTAACAGGGCACGTTTGTGCCGCAATCATCTATCGAAATGTGAAGCCTTTCACGAAGCCAATACCGAAGAAGAAGTGCAAAGAATTTTAGCCTTACCAGTACCAGAAGATAAAAAAAAAAAAAGAAAAAAAGCCAAAAATACTGATGGTACATTAAAATTTTAAATACTTATAA